AAGTGTTATCTGAAAGACAATATGACATAATGTATGCAATAAGAAATAAGAGAGAAAGACGCAGTTGCTAGCACTGAAAAATAATCTATCAGATGGATGGGTGAAGTGTCTTAAGTCATAGAGCCCTGTCATTTTCAGAGTCAGATGTCTTAATTAGCAGGACTTGCCCTTTCAAAGACATCTGCCTGTGCAAGAAAGAGCTTCCCTAATCTTTGCTTTGCATAATAATCTAATCACTCACACAGAAGGTGGGAGATGTAAGTACTTGACTTCTCTTCCAGCTTGAAGGAATTTAGACCTACACCTCCAGTTTCTCAGGACAGTGGCCTAAATAACTGAAGGAACACACAAAGGCACAGAAAGAAGAAAAAAAAGCCCGATCTGAACTTTAACAGCTCTGAGCTTATCCTGAGAGAGACCTAGCTTACAGAGCCCACTCCCATGACCATATATTTTATTTTTAAGCAACAGCTGTCTGATATAAAATGCAGCAGATGCACTCTGATCATGATCTTGCAATATAAACTGTTGGCCCCAGCATTAGTCACCTTTCTGTTTCTGAATGAAAGCTGCTGTGGCTGCCTTGTTTCATGTTGAAGTCAGTGCTGTTCTTGCTTAGGCCAAAACTGAAAGGCATTGTTAGGTATCTACAGTTAGAATACAGGTCCTAGCATATATTTGGGGGTGTGGATTGACCAGTTTGGTGCTGGTGGATGCAGGTAGCAAAAGCTCGTAGCCTTGGAAATGCAAATCCCAAAATGTTCGGTAGATGCCTATCCACCTGTTAGCCTTGCAAACCTAAATGTTCTTTCTGTTCCTTGTATTTTCAGGTTATTCCACACTAACAAAAGTCCATGTTCTCTGAGTTTGGAAGTCACAAGTAATGCCTGGAATCTTCCACTCTCAGTCTTAAGTAATTGCTGGTTATATCTTGAGCACTATTTCACGCAGTCACTTCATTGACATGCTATACTTACGAACAGATGGCTCATACTGGGGCTGCACAGTAAATTACAAGGTTTGCTCACGTTTTTAAAAGATGTAATACCTTCTATTTTTCAGCAATCATAAGCAGTGCATATGAATGAACTATGCCATTAAAACCAGGATTGATAGGAGGCTGGAGAGCACAGCAAATGATATTAAAACCAATTTTGACATCAATCCTACCTCTCATTTATTGCATCTCAAGAAAAAGTAATAACCACTGTGACAAATATAGGTGGGTCCTCCAACAAGAGACAATGAATCCCATTCTATGTAAGAGGCAGAATCACAGAGAAAAATAAAGGTGAAGTCAAAATAGTAAAATTATTCCAGAGGAGTCACTGAGAACTCTGGAGCTGGTATTATGTTTGAAATTTGCAGACACTTTTTTTCACACCTCAATTACTGCATATAATTCCCAAATTAAGCACCATCATCCGTGAAAGGATCACAGATTTTTTAAATTACTTTGCTAAATATTTACAAGTTTCTCTTTAATAGAAAGATCTCATTTTTGCTATTTTTTTACACTCTGATTTAGAGAATTCTAATTAAACAGCAAGTCCTTCAAAACAAACTCACTTCAAGAATTCATGATATAATGTCTTGCACATGTAGTAACTTTATCAGATATATCTTAACAACTATTGTTGTGAATGCTGGGAACTTCTGTCCTTGGTAAGGAACGAATTGAGGAGGAGCTGGGACTGTGGAGACAGGCAGAGTGAAATGAGTATGGGGAAGCATGAAGAACTGATCAGAAGATCAAAAACTGAGGTGATAGAGCCCAGTAAAAAATGTAGAATGCATGGAAAGAGGCAAGTTCCTGCACTAGCAGAAAAGTAGGGGCCGTTTTTAAAAGTAAGGGCCACTTTTGCCTCAGATGCTTGAGGGCACACCACAGCCTTGGTGGACAGAGACACTAGTGCACACCTTTCCTTTGTCACTATCTTTTTAACTCACAACCAGGAGACATTTGAATTATCCTGTGCAACAGCACAGATAAACACTGTCACCTGGTCATTTGGAAGATGAAAGAGTGGAAAAAGAACATTGAACTGCATGAAAAGACAATGGAGAAAAATTGTCCCTAAAGTAAAAATATTACAAAGGAGGAGACTTTTTTCCCCCTTTTTCACTCCTTATCTCTCTAGCTCACACTTTCTTTCCAATCTCTTTCGGAAACAGCTCTAAGAATAGCCCTTAGAACAGCCTCCAAATGCTTAAAAGCAGGGACTACCACTTGATTCCTTGCCTGCACAGGGCATGACAAATATGAGGTCCCTGCATCACTTCCCCATTATTTTTGTGCTAGGTTTTCAACAGCCGTGTGCAGCTTCTGCTTAAACCAAGCAGAAACAGACAGATGATGCTATAATTTCTATGTATAAAATAATAGCAAACACATGAAAAAATTACCACAGATTAGTAGCTCATATTTATTTTTTTCAGACAGGAGAGAAATGTAATACAGTCACTGATTTTATGTGAACTTGACTGCAGTACCACCCTTTTTGCAGAACTACTTAATGGTATATCAACTCTAAACGGACCATTTTTTGTATAAGGATATAAACACAGTTGGGAGCTGAAGATTATCCCTTGCACCTTAAGGTGAGCAAGCATGTATGGTAGAGGGAAAGCTGATGTTGAGTTAGAGGATGAAATGATTATAACTTGCATATAAACTAGGTATGCATCAGCCAATAGATTGCTTATTTTCCTTACTGATTATAGTTTGCATTGATATTATGTGTATCTCAGCTCCTTAGATAAAAATGCTCTGAGTTGAGCTTATAAAATAAACCCAGAAAAGTTTCTATGATTCATCTCTTCACTGCTGCTGCTACAGCTAGACTGATCAACTTAGACTGTTAGCCATGTACTGAAAGTTCATTTACAAGCCATTAAATTCACCCTCATTTGACCTGCCCAATTCTGTTTGGCAACCCTTAGGTTTGCCTTGTTCAACCCCAAAAGTACAGCAACAGAAAAAAGACTAGTGCTAGAGGGCTAAGACTGTGGTTCTCCCTTTCCTGCAGTGCTATCTCTCCAAGAGATGTGCTTCCATCCATGTAGGGATGCAGCAGAGGTAGTACATAAAAAGCACGTCAAAGCATGATATTTTCCTCAGGCATAGTAATACTACATGATACTGAGGAACTGGAGGCTTTTTGAATTTGGTGCTTATGAAAGATGGAATTGATATGGCAGTTTCAGTGACTGAATACTTATACTTGTGAAAGATTCTGTAGATATTTTCAGAGCTTCAAATACCTAACTTTTGCAAGCATGGGTAAGAATATGTATTTGCACACACAACTAAGGGAGAGAGAACAAGCAAACAAACAAACACACATGTCCATTTTTCTCAGTGATTTGACTATTTCCAAATTCAACACATTTTCACCTGCTTCCTTTTCCTAAAGTGATTCTAAAGTGGTGAGAAGTGTCCAGAATGATTTCCACACTTTGCTGGCTCTAATTAGTTACAAAGAAGAATAACATCTCAGTGTCTCACTAATAGTGGGTGGGCTGAAAAAGGTGATTATCATAACACTGAGCAACTTTTAGATTGATCTAGTTTATCAGTAATAAGGCAGAATGGGTCTAGGACATAACCATCACACAAATTGCCTGGCTGCGCTCGACATCAGCATAGAGAACAAGGACATGCTGTTTGGTGTGATAATGTAGTGCAGGTCACTCTAGTCTTTTCCAGGCTTGTATAATTTACCCTACAAATTTATTCTTTCAGCAGGAATACACCGTGGGTTATAAGAAAAACAGGCATCTGTTTACACATTGCATTCATGTCACATACCCGTAACAACTTCCACACATTCAATCTCGACAGGTCTGAATTTGCAGTTATAGATAGCGAGCTGACAAATTACTCCCAGTGGTTAAGAGTTAAATAAAAGAGATTTTGAAAAAAGTAAAAAAATAGGGCTCATTTCTTCATAGGATCATAATTTGATAAAACAACATGCAGGGTTGGATCAGCCTGCATTATTCTTACATGGCACAACATTTACTCTAGTTTTGAATTTGCAGTTCATCCCGCTGAGACTTTTCAGTTTCCCATTGAGATTTTCAGTGGAAAAATGGTTAACCTATTAAAATTACAATGCAGTATCAGCTGAAGAAAAGTTTGTCCTCTATCCCACTGTGAATGTAGCTGTGCAATAATAGTAACATCTATTTCTGATGTCTGGATAACTTGTCCCTCTGCATGTAGGAGACCATTATCCCGTGACTATGTTCTGTTCTCCTGATATAATCTCTTAAATAAAGCTTTACTGTTTACTCTCCTTAATTGAAGTACAATAGAAAAGACATGGCCTCTGAGAAGCTTCACTGCCTTGGAGCTTTGAAGGTGTTTCAAGTTGTCTTTCAGTGTACTTCAAAACATCCTTGATAAAAGAATGTGTGTGGAGGTGGAGCAGGAATTTTACTGACACTTAGATTTTATGCAGAGTTGTAAAAAGTTTACTTAGCTGCCATTCTTCTGCCAACTTTCCCTCTCACTGCTCTGCTAAGGTGTCAAATCCTGTAAAATATTTTTCTTGCAGCTCTTATTTTGTCCCTTTTTGGAACTGAACATTTCTTTGAACAGATAAACCAAATTTGGTTTGGTTTTGGTTTTTTTTGTATGTTTGTTTGTTTGGGTTTTTTTTTAATCCTTTCAAGGTTAAAATCATCAGAAACTCATTTTAATATAATTTTTAATTTGTTAGTTCTAAAAATGAATCCTCCAACAATCCACCAGCCTTGCAGTGACAGATGTATGGACACAGAGACTTGATACTGGCAGATGTTTTACCTTGGATCTGAATTTTATAGAACTTATATTTAACAGTCCTCTGCACCCAGGAATAAAGAAAAAAGAAGAAAACCATTACGACACAGTCTAAAATAGAAACTCATAGCAACGATAACCAGCACATGGCTACAAAACTATCAATTAACTATGTATGTAGGCTGAGTAAGAAAAATGGGAAATTACTCACTGGTAAGAAAATGCTGGGAAGTAGGGCCAAAATCCCTGTGAGCTTCATGCAGTTGCCTGATGCGCTCATCAATGGCCACCTGGTAAGAGAGGAGAAAAAAAAAAGATTCTTTTCTAAACAAGTAACAAACAGAAATTATATTCAGATAGTTGTTTTTTTTTTCATTAGTGAACATTCAGTTTAAAATAAGTAAGTTCCTGCAACAATCGTTACCCCTCAGGGTCTGACTGGAATTTAATGTGTCTTATTGGAAGGAAAGGAGTTAAAAAAAACCCATTTGGTTTTTGGAGGTTCCCCCCATCTCTAACTGATGCTAGAACAAGTTGAAAAGGCTGATAAGTAACAGTATAGCAAATTGCCCTGACTTTATGCACCTGAAAAGAGTATTACTGCTGCTTGCCAATAATGCAGTCAAAACATCCATCTGTTAATACCTTTAAAAAACTACTTCTAAAGTACTTTTGAAAGTATACTAGTATCAATCAGCATGTGAAAAATAATCTCTTTTAATGTGGATGGGATAACAGAGTGCTGAAATGACATTGACCAAGGAGCTGCTGTTACAAACATTTCTCTGTTCTTTTAATCAGTCAAATCATAGCCCCTCAACCCTTTCCCTGGAATAGCCCTTTGAAGAATATGTTTTTCCTAACATTTTGTTGGGTTGGTGTACTGCATGAAAACAGAGACACGAGTTGTAAAATTGGGTTTATTTTTTTCCCTTGAAAATCCCAGTCAAGCAGCCCAAAGAGGGTGGTTATGAAAAGATTCCATAGTGTATGAATGACATCTACCAGCACTTTTACAGCCTATATGCTAAAAGGATGTCATCATAAAGTTAGACCTAAGAATAGGATTAGGTAAAGCAAGAAAAAGTATTTGAAAGTAATGATAGAATATTTTTGAAATACATTAAGTAAAACAGCTGATAGGAAGAAGATTCCTTTAATTTAAATATTGCCTGTAAGAAAAAGTGTTCCATCAACACTGGCACAGCAGAAGGTAAGAGCAATTCATCTTTTAATTGGCCTAATTGTGAGATTAGGAAACAAATAGGTTGTACAAATAAAAAGCAATCCACATTTTAATAGTTTCAGGGAATTCTTTTGGTTGGTAGTAGGAAGGAATAATTGTATAATGACTTGGCATGATACAGTCAGAAAGGAAAACTAATGATAGGATTGACCAGCTCTTTGATATGACTGTTTGCCAAATAACCCCTAGAGCCCAAAATCTTGTTTAAGTAAGCAATAGGAATTTATCAACAGGACATGATTTCTTTGCTTACAGTTTTAAAACTAACACCATAAGCCCAAATGCCCCTTTCCTTTCTTTCCTCAAGCCATTTTTCAGGTTCTTCTGCAGCTTTCTCCATTTCTATGTCTTCTCCTCTGGCTTCCCATACTCAGACACTATCAATGTAATTTTTTGTTAGACTCCCTTGAGCAGCATCTCTCTACACAGCTCAGCTGCAATCACATCCCCATGCAGCCTCTGTTCTTATTTCTACTGTCTCCTTGAATCCAGAATTGCTCACAGATCAGAATTTATACTGGTAGGTTTAAGGCAGATACATGCTGGCTTAGTCCTATGACCTGTGCTTTTCCTGTTTAATCTTGCTGAGTGCTCAGCTAGACAAAAACTAAGCCTAGGAAGAGGCTGAACTCTGGACAACTTCTGAAACTGTGGGTACAAGAAGGCTGGGTAAAGGACCATTTAAGCCTAGAGGGTATTACATGGATGGATGTTCTGTTAAGGGATGCTTCATACTAAGGACTGGCTTTGAGCTTGAGTTTACACCTAATTCACAGTACAGATATAAACTAGGGAAGTCTGTAAGTGCATAGAAAACCACGACAGGGCTGCTTCTGGTCATCAATGTAATTAGCTTAAGAACAAAAGCATTAACTAATGTGATACCATTTTTAACAACGAAACAGCCTTTCAACAAAGACTAGGAAAATAATCTTAAATGTACATAAACACAAGCAAAAAAACCCCCACAACCAACTGGAAGAAATTTTAATGGAATTCCATGGACTCTTTGGAATCCTCTTAAAACTACTTCATAACATTCCTATTTTGTCTTTAGCAAATATCGGTTAATAAATTTTCAGTAAGTCAACTAGGATGGCAGGCAGAATCTCTAAAGAGAATGAGAGCTCTACAAATGTGCAGTGGGGAGCAGTATTTCATGTAGGAGAATGTCAACAGCCAACTTGTGGTCAGAAGAGAGTATGGGAACCCTTTAGTGCATGTAACCACTGCCAGCACACAGGCCATACAACTTCTATGAGTGTGCTAAAACTGAGGATTTCAATCCCTTCAGAATATCGAGGTGACCTTTGAGCTGTACAAAATTATTAAACTAATGATTTTTAGCCATATAGGTACATCAGCAAAATAAAATACCTTACACACGTCAGGGTAAACTTTCAAACTGAACAGCTTTGGATGTGAGCCAGGAAATACCTCTATCTAGAGGTAGATTTTGTCAATACAGAGAAGAATAAAATATTGGGAAATCTTGAGTATTCTTCAGGAAATATCACCTGAGAGCACAAAATGTTATTCCATTTGGCTGCCAGGAAATACCACTTTCTGATATATTGGCAGACTACCTTTTAGATGCCAAAAGATGAACTCACTGGGGGTGGGGGAGGAGGGGGGGTAGAGCAAGGAAGATTATTGAAGTCAGTTTCTATTAATTTTACCAAAACTAATATGTAAATGATAAAATAGCAGAAATTGAACCCACAATAACTCAGGTTATGATGAACAATAAAACCCCATCAGAACGATTACTTAGAGTTACAGAAGAATGTGTCTCTGATCCAATAAAATCAGAGTTGGATTCAGCTCTGTGACTTATACCCTAACTACCTGGAGAAAGAGATCATATCCACATTGTCTTCATCAACGATTTGTGATTCTTCAAAAAAATCCTCACTGGCTTGAAGAATTTTTTCTTATTTTTCATAAACAACCCATAGGTAATTCCCAAATTTTAAATTTTGTTTTGTTTTCTTTCAAGTCAAGTGAAATATGTACCTCCAATATAAGCACAAACAGTATCCTATGTATTTTTGTATGCTATGCTCTGAACCAAGTGCAGTTTTCCTTATTAATAAAATGATGTGGAAAACTGGAGCCTTGTGTGAAGAAAATGGCAAACTTCTCAACCTGATTCAAGCACTCATTTTCCTTGTTTTAAATGGAAGAAAACATATATACTGTTAATGAAGGAATTTCAGTAGTATCAGCTTAGCCAGAATAACATGCAAAAAGTAATAATTTTAAAGGTACTATTTATTACCAGCATGTAACATGCAAGATCACATGAAGGGTGAGGTTTGAAGGGACCACAGCGGACCACCTGGTCCAGCCTCCATGGGGCAGGACTATGGACTTGATTTCGTTATCTTTTAGGTAAAACTCTACAGTATTTCTCCACAAGAAATGTTATTAAAAAAAAAACAACCAATAGATGGGTTTCTAAAAAGTCATCTATTGCTTTATCTGAATCAAGATATGGGAATTTGGTTTAAACAGACCAAAGTATTTTTATATCTGATTATGACTTAAACACAAACTTCAGAATTTTCTGTAATTGGGATACTTGAACCATCACTTTTCTCCACTGAGGATACATGCTTGAAATGATGTGCATTTCCATTATGTATTTAATCTAATTTTTTACATAACATTTATCTTCTTTCAATCATAACAAATGAAGGAACCACAGCAGTGCAGTAAACATACTTGAAGCTGAAGATGGTAATATTAAAAATCCTATACTGATTTTAAGTGATATTGACATAGAACAGAAACAGCTTCTGCTACACAAATTAACAATTAAAAAAAATGATATTTAAAGTCTTTCTCCTTTAAAGATTTTAGAAACTTTTGATGAAACAAGTTCTGTTTCACTTCATTTGGATGTAGACATGAACTGAATCTATCTATCTATCTATCTATTTAGCTCAGGTTCAGATAAACAAATTATGACAATAACAAAAGGAAACCTATGTCGTAGTTGTTAAGAATAGTTTGCAACTACTTTACCTAATGTAGGGGTTCAACCTTGACAACATTTGTTATAACAGCTCCACTGAAATCAGAATAAGGATTTGATGGATTTAACTTGGATCTACTACTAAAATTCTGGTTTTTTTTTTTTTTTTTTAAAAGGGGTTTAGCTGAAAATATTTTTTATAGAAAGCCTTCTTTTGTGTTTATGATCACACTGCAGAGCAGGCCTGGATCAAGAAGGAAAAGTGAGTTGTTTGATTCTCAGTATTTTCCATGTTCTCCAGAAGTACTCAACAGTAACTGTTCAGGTGTGCTGGAGCTGCTGAACTACTCAGAAAGATGTGATGCAGGAAGGAGGAACAACCCCCATCCCATCATGTTTTTGAAGTTGTGCCTGCAAATAATGAGTGTCCTTAACAAAGAGCTATAAAAATGGTCACTCTGTCAATCCATCAGTCTTATAATCTTGGATATACAAATTCCACACTGGAGCAACATAATACTCAGCCTAGGTCTAAGTTGTGGTTTAATCCTGACCCAATCTTGCCCATAGCTTTGATTTTTAACTGAACAAGTTCAGTGGAGGAAACTATCCCTGGGGTACTTATCTCCCAGGCAGGTGAGCTCTGATCACCAGTTTAAACTACTCTGCAAAATGAGCAGCTGCAACGCTGTAGGAGCGGCGGTGACTGGTCAAACATCCCTTTGTGTTCAGCACACTTAAGAGAATTCACATTCAATGAACTTGGCCAGGAATTTATTAAAAAGTTTTATTTTTAAACCTTAAATAGTCACCAAAAAATGGCTCAAGAAGCTGGTGATTGCGGGCAGTAAGAAAACATCAGGTAAAAAGGGAATGTTGCAGGGGAATATGTGACTGCCTTCACCCTTGCTAACACTGAGGCAATTCAGAAAGAGACTTCTGTGGGTTCCAAATTGTAATCCAAAATTCATTCACTTCTCTATCATAGTCCTCTGTTTGGACACACCTCTTTATAAAGCTGAAGAACATGGCATACAACAACACTAAAGTGCTAGTTATCTATT